AGCTTAGTAAAGGCAGAGCCCTGTAGCTGGAACTGGGCCAAAGCTACTACATTGAACAATCCAAGGGTCATCATAGTTTATAGATGAATGGCACTGCTGGAGTTGTGCAAGGCCCAGACTGTACAGTCATCCATGTCCAGGGCATCAAGAAAAGCTCCCTAGGGGAACAGGACTGATACATTGTGACTCCAGAGATATCAGGATCCCCAGAGAATGGCCCCAGAGCTGGGACCTACTGCAGGATCTGGGCACCCTCTGGATCCCTCCTCATCTGGTCCCTGAGGGCCTTCAGGGTGCGGTGTCCTGTGGTCTCCCCTAGAACTGCAACCATGTCTGAAAGGACAGAAATGAGCACGTATGTAGATGTGAACTAAGGTAAGTTACCTGACCTGGTCTGAGCCTTAGTTCTCTATGTGGTAAAATATGGATAATACCTACCTCTCAGTTATGAGGATTTATGTTGAACACTTAGCAAATCGCCTGGCACACAGCAAGGACTTAATATATCAATAGTTATTATTATTAACATTATTAATCTGCTGGGGTAGGGTCGCCCTGGTTAACAAAGCACTTCAGAGTTTACAAATCACTTTGGCATTCATCATGACAATAGAATATCACGTCAATCCTTTGAAGCAAAAGCTCCGTTGATAGTTACAGGCTTTGCCATCAGAGTACTGGGTTTGAGCCTAGATTCTGTCACTTAGATCTAGGAGACCTTGTGCAAATTGCTTCACATTTCTAAGCCTCAGTGTTCTAATTTGTGAACTGTGGATAACATTTTTCTTACAGAGTTGATGGGTGAAATCAAGAAAGTCATGCACATAAAGCATTTATCACAGTAAGCAGTCACAATAAGTACTCAGTGAGCAGTTAGTATTATTTTTAATAGTACTACAGAATTCTGGGAGGTGACTTGCTCAGCCCATGACCCCTTACTGCAGCCAGATACCTGTGCCTACACGAATCAGCCCCACCTGTCTAAGACTGTAGGTGAGAGCCTGCACCATGCACTTGGTGACTGATGACCTGGACACCTGAGCTGAATCCATACAAGAAAAGTAAACAGACTCCTGGGTTCACATACCTAGTAACAGATCTAACCACCTGGTGACAGGATGTTAGAGCTTCAAAGCTGCCAATAATCAAACTAGCTCACACAAGCAGCCTATTTGGGCATATCAAAACAAAACAAGAAGCTAGGACACAGTAAGCAAACATAAAATAAATAAATATAATAACTTATTGATGGCTCGGAGACAACCAACAATATCAAATCACATAAAGAGGCAGACCATGATGGCTTCAGCAAGCTCCCAAAACAATCAAGAAATTTTCCAGAGAAAGGGAACTTCTTGTAATTACCAGAGGTAGAATACAAAAGATTAATACACAGAACTCTCCAAGAGATCAGGTAAAACACAGAACAAGCCAAGAACACACAGACAAAGCAATAGAGGAACTTAAGAAGATTAGAGAAGAGCATAATGACAAATTAAACAGGCTGCAAGAATCCATAGAGAGACAGCAATCAGAAATCCAGAAGATTAACAATCAAATTTCACAATTAGACAACTCAACAGAAAGCCACAGGAGCAGAACTGAGCACTTGACACCAACTTATTTGAGGAATAACCAAATAAAAGAATTTAAAAAATGAAGAAACTCTAAGAATTATGTGTGGCTCTATCAAGAGGAATAACCTACGAGTGATTGGAGTACCAGAACGGCAGGGGATAACAGAAAATACAGAGAGAATTGTTGAAAATTTGTTGGCAGAAAACTTCCCTGATACCATAAAAGATGAGAAGATATCTATCCGGATGCTCATCAAACCCCACATAAGGTAGATCCCAAAAGAAAGTCACCAAGACATATTATAATCAACCTTGCCAAAACCAAAGATAAAGAGAGAATTTTAAGAGTGGCTAGGGAGAAATGAAGTCATCTACAAAGGAGAATCAATAAGAGTAAGCTCTGACTACTCAGCAGAAACCACACAGGCAAGAAAGCAATGGGATAACATATAGAAAGCCTTGAAGGAAAAAAATTGCCAGCCAAGAATTATATATCCAGCAAAACTGTCTCTCAAATATGACGGTGAAATTAGGACATTTCCAGATAAACAGAAGTTTAGGGAATTTGCAAAAACCAAACCAAAATTACAAGAGATACAAAAGGGAGTCCTCCAGTTAGAAAATCAATAACATCAGATAACAACCCAAGACTAGAACACAGGACAGAGCAACCAGATATCAACCCAGATAGGGAACTCACAAAAATAAATCAAAGCTAAAACACTGAAAACAGGGTAACAGAGATGTCAATATGTAAAAGATGACAACATTAAAACAAAAAAGGGGACTAAAAAATGTAGTCATAGATCTTTCAAATGGAGAGGAAGGCAAGGTGATATAAAGTAATAAAAAACTGGTTTAAGCTTAGAAAAATAGGGTAAATATTAAGGTAACCACAAAGGAAACTAACAATCCTACACATCCAAATAAAAAAACAAGAAAAACATAAAGACTCAGCAAATACAAAATCAACAACAATGAAAAAGATGAAAAGAAAATACATATAGAAAAACGAGTCAGCACAGAAAATTACGTGGAACAAACAAACTGTTAACAACACACAGAAGAAGACATCAAAATGACAGCACTAAACTCAACCTATCAATAATTATGGTGAATGTAAATAGACTAAATGCACCAATAAAGAGAAAGAGAGTGGCAGAATGGATAAAAAACCACGATCCATCTATATGCTGCCTACAAGAGACACACCTTAGACTTAAAGACACAAACAAACTAAAACTCAAAGGATGGAAAAAAATATATCAAGCAAACAACAATCAAAAAAGAGCAGGAGTGGTAGTATTAATCTCTGACAAAATAGATTTTAAAGTAAAATCCACCACAAAGGATAAAGAAGGACACTATATAATGATTAAAGGGTCAATACACCAGGTGGACATAACCATAATAAATATTTACGCACCCAACAACAAGTCTCCAAAATTCATAAAACAAACTCTAACAGCATTGAAAAGAGAGATAGACAGCTCCACAATAATAGGAGACTTCAACACACCACTTTCAGTGAAGGACAGACATCCAGAAAGCAGCTCAATGAAGACACAGAGATCAAAATGCCACAATCAACCAACTTGATCTCACAGACATACACAGAACACTCCACCCAACAGCAAGCCAAGTATACTTTCTTTTCCAACCCACATGGAACATTCTCCACAATAGACCACATATTATGCCGTAAAGTAAGCCTTAACAGAATCCAAAGCATAGAAATGTTAAAGCATCTTTTCTGACCATAAAGCCATAAAAGTGAAAATCAATAACCGAAAAAGGGAAAAAAATCAAACACATGGAAACTGAACACCACCTTGCTCAAAAACTACTGGGTTATAGAAGAAATTAAGGATGGAATAAAGAAATCCACAGAATCAAATGAGAATGAAAACACATCCTACCAGAACCTTTGGGACACAGCAAAAGCAGTGCTCAGAGATCAATTCATAGCAATAAATGTGCACACATCCAGAAAAAAAAAGAATCCTGGGAGGGATGAGAAAGGCACTGCAGAATCAAGAAGTTCTACTCAATTCGTTCAGCAAACATTTACTGAGCTTGTACTACATGCCGGCCACTGTCTAAAATGCTGCAGATAGAGTGAAACAAGGTAGTCACTGCCCTTGACCTCGTAAAGCTTACGTTAGAGCGTGAGGTTATAACTGAATATAACCATTTGTCTTAGACTAGGTTCCAACTCGTGGCAATCCCATGTGTCAAAATAGAAGTGTGCTCCATAGGGTTTTCAATGGCTGGCTTTTTGTTAGTAGATTGCCAGGCCTTTCTTCGGAGGCACCTGAGGGTGTGCTTGATCCTCCAACCTTTTGGTTAGCAGCCAAGCGTGTTAACCGTCTGCATAATCCAGGGTCTCCTGTAACTGAATGGGTGCTTATAAATCATCTCTTTAGTCCAGAAGTTCTCAATGTGGCTGGATGGCAGAATCTCCCGGGAAGTAGTTTAAAAAGGCAGACGCCCAGATTCCACGTTTCCTCCCTCCCAGCTTCACCAGGCAGAATCGGACTCAGCTAAGTTTAGGCTTGGACTCTAGCATCTGTATTTTTATATACGTTCCAGGTGATTATGAGGCGCATCCAGGTTTGGGTACCCTGCTAGTCTGTCCCCCTGTTACTCATGGGAAACAGAGGCTTTGTCAGAGGTCGTGACCCTCCCAGGCTTACAAGACAAGAGTGCGCGCCCGGACCTGGGCGGCCTTACCGTGGCGGTAAGGGTTGTAGAGCGCCATTCCGGCAGAACCGGCGGCCAGCAGCAACTTCTGCAGTGGGGAGGTGGGGATGTGGTCAGGATAGAGCAGGCCAGCGCCATGGCTCCCGGCCCGGAGGGGCACATCTGCGGGACGACAAAAAGGCTGAGGTCAGAGAAGCGGGGTGCCCCTAGAACTCCACCCTACCTTCGCCTAGAAGCCGGCGCCACTAACCCCCAGCTGGCCGGGGCCAGCCCAGAAGCCGGCGGAGCGGGCGCAGTGCCGGGCGCAGCAGTGTCGCCATGGCAGCAGACACGGTTGGACGTCCCGGCAAGGCTGACGCCCCAAATTTCTCTGGCGACGGAGTGCTGGAGAAGCCAAAAGGACTCGATCCCGACTTCGCTCCTTATGCCTTCTTGACGTGAAAAATCGTAGCACAGACGGGAAAGGGCCCTATCGCTAACTATGAAACAGGCGACCTGTCTACCAAACTGGCTATTCCACCGATACAAGAGTCTCTCCACTTCACCTCACTCCCAAAAAGGGTCTCCAAGAGAAACGTAAGCCCCGCTAGCTTTGGCTTCCAGCGCGGGCCCTACATCCTTCTCCGCAGCATATTTTCCCCGGGGGCAATAAGAAACGAACCATTTCCGGCTGCGGAACTTGGAGGCGCCGTACGGCATTTCCGTCCAGGTCCTAGCTTTTCTTTGAGCCTGGAATGGGGTCTGCAGGCCTGGCCCGGCTGCATGGGCTTTTCGCGACCTACAAGCCTCCGGGTCTAAAATGGAAGCACCTGCGGGACACCGTGGAGATGCAGCTTTTGAAAGGTAGGGGCGTTGAACCAGAGCCACGATTCTGCTCCTGTTCTCGTGGGGGGTCCATCTCTGCTTCTGTTTCTTTCCAAAATAGTCATCATGACCCACTCGCCTGAGCAGAGCGCCTTCCTAATCATCTGTTCTGTATACTCCGTTGCTCCTCATTTTCCCTTATTTTCAGATGGAGAAACTAAGGTTCAGAAAGGTTAAGTATTGTCCGTTATCACACAGTTTAATAAATAGCAAAGCAGGATTTGAACCAAAATCTGCCTCTTAGTCACTACTATTTTACACCACTGGCATCCCATTTGTCTTCGACATCACCATACTTCCCCGGCCCCATCCCCCCATTTGCCTACCTCCCCACCCCCGGGTGGTCAGATAGAATTGACAAGATGTTCTTTACCTGTGTGTGCTCAGGTCTCAACGCTGGGAAGCCTCCTGCCCCTGAACAGCGTGTACGCTTCCTCCTGGGCCCCATGGAAGGCAGCGAGGAGAAGGAACTGACCCTCACAGCCACTAGTGTGCCCACCCTCACCAAACATCCTCTGGGTAAGGCAGATTTGGGCAGGGTCCTGGGTGTCACTTCTGAGCAAATCCCTGAGCAGAGTCAGTATCTCCGTGCTCAAAGACAATTTTTTCCCAGACTCTTGAAAGGACACAGTGGGAATAAAGTATTAGATCAAGGGTTGGCAAACTCTTTCTGGAAAAGGCCAGATAGTAAATATTTTAGGCTTTCTGGGCTATATGGTCTCTTGCAACTACTAAATTCTGCTGTTGTAGTACAAAAACAGCCATAGATAGTATGTAAAGGAATGCGCCTGGCTGTATTCCAATAAAACTTTAATAAAACTGACATTTGAATTTCACAAAATGTTTACACGTCATGAAATATTCTTCTCTGGATTTTTTTTTTTGAACCATTCAGAAATGTGAAAACCTTTTTTAGCTCGCAGGCCATAAAAAAACAGATTGCGGATTTGGCCTGCGGATTATAGTTTGTTAACCCCTTTACTATTCTGGGACTCAAAGTGGGAATCAGGGCTCCTGGGAAAGAGTGACTTTTTAGTCAGCAAATCTGCCCAACACTAGAATTGGTGTGGTGATGAGTCTCCTGTCACTAGAATTGATTAAGACATCTGTCAGGGAGGCTATTGGAGGACCAAAGGGCTCAACCAGAAACCTCTGAAATCCTTTTGACTAGTGATATTGAGTGACTTTACAATTTAACAGCAATAACAAGTGCAATTTATCGAGTACCTACTCCAAACTGGAGCCCTGGTAGTGCAGTGGTTAAGAGCTACAGCTGCTAACCAAAAAGTAGGCAATTTGAATCCACCAGCTGCTCCTTGGAAACCCTATGGGGCAGTTCTGCTCTGTCCTGTAGGGTCACTGTGAATCGGAATTGGGTTGAGAGCATCGGGTTACTCTGGACTAGGCCTGTGTTAAGCTTTTTCCAAACATGTTCTCATTGAATCTGCACCGCAGTCCCGTGAGGTATGTCCTATTCCTGTTTCATAAATGAGGAAACTGAGGTTCAACATTGTCATTAAGTAGCATAGCCTGGATTCAGTAGGCTCTTAACCACCCTCTGATCTTCCTGTAGATTCCTCTTGATTCTATAGAAGTGTAAGCACTTCTAGCTCATTCCTACATTTGTTCTTTTGGTAGTTAATTTCTGAAAGCTAGTGAGTTCTGGGCTCTGAGGGTAGAGCTGTGGACAGACAGACCCAGGTCCCGCCTTAAGGAGCTCATAGCCTCCATTTTCTCTGTGGGTTGGTGGCCAGGACTCTCCTTTAGCAGGAGCTGGTCAGGGAACCTCAAAATCTTGATCCCCAGTGTCATGCCCAGTCCACTGGAACCTTATCGTTGAGAGACTGATGCTAGGCAGAGTGACAGGCATTTTGGTTGCTTCTTCTCTTGGCCTAGAAATGGTTCTGGGTTCTCGGTTCCATGGTGGGGAAGCCTGAATCCAATCCTAGCTTTGGGTTTCATGAGGCCACATTTTAGGAATGAGGTTGTCCCACAGCCAAAAGCCATCCTAGAGGCTGGATAAGTTGAGGATATAGACCTCGTTTGTTTCTTTCCAGTGTGCGGACCAGAATTCACCAGTCTGAAGGTTGGTGTGGGACACCGGCTAGATGCCAAGGCTTCTGGGGTGCTTGGTAGGTGATGTGGTGAGCCTGGGGGTACAGTGGTATGGGCTTGGGGGAAGGATAGGGAGCTACCGTGATCCCAGCCTGCTTCTTACCCAACCGCCATTTCTCAGCACTGCCCTCCTTCCCTGATTCCTGCCCCAAGTCCCTGATCAGCTGGGCAGATGAATGATGGAAAGGGGAGGGGTCACAGGATAATAATCACAGTTACCCATCTTTATCAAGTGATTCCTGTGGTACTAAGCCCTTTGTGCATGCTCATTTATTCAACACAACAACGTTATTAGGTAGGTATTGTGTGATTTTACAGACAAAGAAAGGTTCCAGGAGCTTAGGTGACTTATGCTGGGTCACATGGCTAGCGAATGCCCCTTATCCAAAGAGGAAGAACCATCATCACTTTCGTGGGCAGCCAAGTGTGTGACTCTGGCCTCACTGGCTGGGGTCTGAATGTTATTGGAGCTGAACACACAAAGGCCTGAGTCATGAGTTATCTGTGTCCCCAGGGTCAGGCAGTGGCCACATCCTTCAGCCCCAACAGTCACAGTCCCCTTGTCTTGCTTCCTGGGGCACAAGCAGGCAGGCATGATCTCACACTCTCCCTCTCTCTCCAAGAGTGAATGGAGAGTCCTTATCTCCTTCAGCCAGGTGGGGAGACAGACCCAGGGAAAGGCAGTAAGTGGCCACAATGGCCACCATTTATCAGTCCCTTCCTTTGTGCTGACTGCTTCCTATGTATTGTCTCCTCTAACCTTCACAACAACCACAGAGATTGAGACAGTATTTTTATCACCATTTTACTGATGAGGAGCCTGAGGCCTAGGGAGGTAAAAGGACATACTCAGTCACCAGATTTGAGTGTAGGTCTGTGAGACTGGGCCAGTGGTCTACTTTTGAGTGCATGAGAACCCCTGGGGAACTTGCTAAGGGTCCCAGGTCCTTCATCACTAGGAGTCCGAATCAGTGCATATGTGCAGGGCCTGGAAATCTGCATTTTGACACATACCCAGAGGAGTTTGCTTGCTCCCTGTAGGAGCAGCTCCCCTTGCATCTTGCTGCTTTCAGCAGCATATGAGGTGGCAGTATTCTGATCGGGGGGAGGGTCCCCCAGGGTAAAGAGAAGGGGAACCAGATGTGATATCAGGCTGGGTGTCTTTCAGTGCTCGGCGTGGGACGCGGACGCAGGCTTCTCACCGACATGTACAATGCTCATCTCACCAAGGTATGGGGGTCTGGGGACAGCCGGCTTATCTGTCGGTCCTATCCCTGGGAGTCATCAGCAGGATTCTGTATCTGAGAGGTTTCCACAGGGAACACACTTTTTTATGGCCGTGTGCTAGGGAAGACTGTAATAATAATGACGTTTAATAGCAGGTACTGGCATTTACTGTCTGGTGATTACTCTGAGCCGAGCAATGTATGTGAATTCCCTCATGGAATCCTCACAACTCTGTAATGTGAGTCTTATTGTTAACCCCATTTTACAGGTGAGACAACTGAGGCTCAGAGAGAGGACATTGCATGCTCAGGGTTATGTAGCCCTTAAGAGGCGGAACTGGGATTTGAACCTGGATCTGTCCAACACCAGAGCCTGATTCTGACACCACTCTTTTCTCTCCCCGAGACTGAGTAGACATCACCGTCCAGCCATCAGAGAGCTTGCTATCTAGGGTGGGGCAGTGGAATCTGGTTCCAAGCAGCATGTGCAGAGGTGCCACATCAGAGGGCCAGTGTCCTTAATGGTTAAGAGCATAGATTCTGCAGCCAAATGGCTGATACTAAACCTGGTTCAAAACCCAGCTTCTACAACTCTGCTAGCTGTGTGTCATTGGGTGGATTACTTAACATCTCTGCACCTCAGTTTTCTCATTTCTAGAATGGAAATAACAGTAGTACCTCCCTTATAGGATTGCTTTGAAGATTGAATGTAAAGTGCTTAGCATAGTCCGTAGCACATAGTTAATGCCCAAGAAATGTCACTATTGTCATCGTTACTATCATCATTGTTGTCATCACTGTTATTTGTGGCAGATGCAGATAGCCCCAGAGGGAGGAAGAGGGGCTCAATGTGGGTCTTAAAAGCTTAGTCATATTTTGAGAGGTGGAGAGATGCCTACAGGGCATACTAGGTGGGGACACAGGTGATAAGTTGTCAGATTTGGCTGGAGTGTCTCTTTACTGTGGGATTGACCCTGTCACTGTACCCAGGTTACAGAGGAGAACTAAGATGCAGAGAGAGCAAGGGAGCTACCCGAGGCCGCATAGCAGAACCAGTGTCCTTCCCTAGGGGGTAGGGGCTGAGTGTGTGAGCTTCCTAAGAGGAGACCTGAGACCCCCACCTTCTCTTCTGACTGGACAGCATAGAGTGGGTGGGAGAGCCTCCCAGCCCTCAGCCTCAGTCTGGCCCGTCTGGGGCCTGTGCTGCTAGATCAGGCCTCCCTCCTCAGCACTGAGACCTAGAGTGGGGAAGTGGACTGAATTGTCCCCTTCCTGTCCTTGCAGGATTACACAGTGCGTGGCCTCCTGGGCAGAGCCACAGATGACTTCTGTGAGGATGGGCGGCTGGTGGAGAAGACGACGTATGGTGAGAGCCCACAGGAGCCCAGGGCGGTGGGAGGGTTGACTGAGGCTGTGTCCAAGTTTGCTTTCCTTTGAATTTCTTATCCCCACCTGGGCCGTGCTGGCCACCTCTCAGTTACTCTCAGACACAACAAGCTCAGGCTGGCTGTTGTGGGGCTTTGGGCCCCTCATTCTCTCTTCCAGGAACACCCTGTGCTCACCTCCTCCCCTGGCTCAAATGTCATTTCCCCAGGGAAGTTTTTTCCAGCCCCCAGACTAGGTCAGACCCATCCTGAATGGACACTCAGAATAGTAATTAACAATTAGTGAGTTTTTAATACCATTAATCCTTATCATTTATAAGTCTCATATATGCAAATTCTGTATTTGTGAATTTGCTTACTTGTTAAAATTTATTTGTATCCCTCAAATTAATACTTGCAGTGCTTTAGCAGATATTTGCATGTACAAGGCAGTGAAAAATTTGAGATGCCCTACTCATCCATTCCCAGCTCAGGTCAAACAAGACTGGTTTGGTATTTGCTAATTCCACATTCGAAGGACTTTATAGGACATAACTACCGCAAATAACAAGAATCAACTTATAAATTTTTGTACGAGGAAAAAAAAAAGGAATCAACTGTACGTGTCTCCCCTCTAGACTGTTGCCCAAGAGAGCAGTAACTGTGTGGTCCACTGCTGTGGTCACACACATGTAGCACTGGACTGGGATGTGGGAGGTGCTTAATAAATGTTTGTTGAATGAATGAATGGCTCATTCTTCTTACTGTCCCTTTGGTCTAAGACTTTCCATAGGATCTAATGCATTTGCTCATTACCCAGATATTTTTGAGTGCCAGCTATGTGCCAGAGTCTGGGGTACGTATGGAGAATTAGACAGGGTCTCCAACCTCAGTGAACTCACAGTGTAGCAAGGAGAGGAGACACACACCTATACATTTTCTGTGAAATAAAAAAAAGAAACAAAATGTGTCAAAGCAGCGCTGTATATTTTGTATTGCTAAATGTAGGTGTGTGTCAACATCCAAAAAACACCTAGAGACAACTACCATGTAAATAGCTCTGGGAGGGAGAGAGCTAAAACTTGAAAGGGGAGAGATGATCTAAAATTTTTAAATAAGATTCATGTATCAATTGTGTCATTAGAAAATAATGTGAAAATAAAGGAAAATTACATACCAGTGGAGAGACCCAGGTGCAGAGTGGCAGGAACTGGGAGAAGGAGTGGCGTGCCCCACGTGGGGCTTCCCAGAGGAGGCAGCGCTTGAGCTGGACTGTAAATGAGGGCAGTAGGCACACTCTAGGTGAGACAACAGCATGAATGAAGCCAGACAGGAGGAATGAGGAGGCCTGGGCCCTTCCAGTCCTTTGGCCCCTGCTCCTGCTCCCAGAGCTCTGGCCTTTGGAGCCAGGAGTTGGCACCAGTTCCAGCTGGCCCTGGGATCAACCCCCTTACAGAGTTTGTGAAGGTCCAAACAGGCTTTGCTGCCACCGCCTGCATAAGGCACAAGCAGGCAGAGCCACTTCGACTCCTTACTGCCTGCTTCTGCATTTGGACAGATGGCCCCTGACATGGAAAACCCCAGAGTGGGGCTTAGGAAACCTGCCTTAGAATCTTGAGCACGTCCCATCACGTCTTTGGGACTGCATTTCCAGAAGAAAATATATTTAACCTGGAGTCTGTGGATAGCTTCAGGAGGTCTGTGAGCCTCTTGAAAATTTCCTCAAAGTGTTGAGTTCCTGGGAATCTTTCTGAGAAGAAGGTGCAGAACTTTATAAGATTTTCAGAGGACTTTCAACCTTCTGCATGGGAACCTAGGACAGAGGGTGCTCCGGTACCCCCTTCAGGTTCCAGGGACAGGCTGGCTCGGGGAAAGGGAGTTTGGCAGTTTGCTGTTGTCCATCCTCAGCGAGCACCTGTGTGCTGATAGTCCCCTGGCTTTTCCAGACCACGTGACCAGAGAGAAGCTGGACCGAATCCTGGCAGTGATCCAAGGCTCCCATCAGAAGGCCCTGGTGATGTAAGTGGAGCCCTGTCCACACCTCCCCAAAAGGGTCCCTTAGGAGGTACTGGAGAACCCTGGGGCAAGTTCCACAGAGCCTCTTTTTCAGAGTCTGAAACCAGACACCAACCCACCCATTCCTCCTACCACACACAGAATTATTTCTGGGTGCCAGTTCTTCTGCCGACTACTGGGGAGGCTGAGGGGAACAAGGGACCCCAGCTGTCCTCCCAAGGAGTATGTGATTTAAAGGAGGAGAATCATTTGTCTGAATCAGCACAGTACAGAGCTGCAGGGTGAGGGCGAGTGGTAGTCCAGCCTAGTGGCTTGGGCTCTGGAGCCAGCTTGCCTGGGATTCCTGACTCTATCAGTCACCAGCGGTGTGGCCTTGGGTGAGTGGCCAAACTTGCTGTGAGTGTCATTTTCCTAGTCTGTAAACTGGGCACAGAAACAGCCCCCACCTCCTGGACATGTGCTGGGGACACTAGAGGATCAGGCAGGTGCCTGAGCACAGTGATGTCACACAGTACAGGTGACACCAGGCAGAACAACCACCTGAAGGGAGGAGACTGCTGTAGTCAGAGAAAACACCCTGCACTGTAGGGAGCACCATTTAAAAGGATGAGCATGAAATTGCCAAATGGCTGTGGTTGGGGGAATGGTTATTCCAGGCAGTGGAACATCTTGTGCTAAGTTCAGAGGTGTGAAACAGCCAGATGGGTTCAGAAACTGATGAAGAGCCCAGCACAAGGGCTGTGAGGTGCTTCAGGGAAGGGAGTAAAGTGAAGCGGATAGGTTGGGCGAGGGCAGTGGGGAGCCACTGATGGGTCTACAACACCCAGTGAACTATGGACCTGTCCCTCTGGGGACCATGTGGAGAGCAGACTGGAGGAGCAAAGTTAGAGGCAGGGAGTAGGCTGTGTTTGCCGTGCCTGGGTGACCGCTGAGAAGGGTGTGAGCTGCAGCAGGGGCAGCAGCAGCAGAGAAGAGCGAGGGATTGGAGGAGGATTAGGAAGCAGAATGGGCAGGATTATGTGGGTGCAGGGAGAAGATGAGGCTGGGAGGACACCCTGGGGTCTGGCCAGGCCACTGGGGGTGTTGGAATGGGGAGGAGGAATCTGCGTCAGGGGAAGTGGTTGAGCTCACTTTGGGTTGGGCTGAGAGGTCCTGTGGAACATCTGGCTGAGACGCTGCAGTGCAGAACTACAGGTGGAGGCTCAGAAGCTGTCAGCACTTAGGTGACTGTTGAAGCTAGGGAGAGTGTGTAGAGGGAGGGCAGAGGCTGTATTTAGTAGTGCTGGAGGAAACCCTGGTGGCGTACTGGTTACGTGCTACGGCTGCTAACCAAAAGGTCAGCAGTTCGAATCCACCAGGCTCTCCTTGGAAACTCTATGGGGCAGTTCTACTCTGTCCTGTAGGGTCAGTATGAGTCGAAATCAACTCAATGGTAATGGGTCTGGTTTTTTTTTTTTTGGAGGAAACAGAGAAAATGGCTACCACAAAGGTGGCTAAAGAGCAGGGAAAGCAGGGGATGTGGAAAGTAAATGAAAAGCTTCAGAAAAGCCATCTTTCGTGAGTGGGGCAGCAGCAGGGGTGGCCAGTCAGCCCAACTCCCTACCCCCACACCAGCTGAATCCCCCTTCTGATCCCCAGGTACTCCAGTGTAGACTTGAAGACCCAGGAGGCTTATGAGATGGCAGTGAGAGGCTTGATCCGGCCCATGAACAAGTCCCCGATGCTGATAAGCAGTATCCGATGCCTCCACTTTGCACCTCCAGAATTCCTCTTAGGTAGGTTGTGTCAGGAAGTTGGAGTGGTAAGATGGGGTTCCTGGGTTTGGGGAGTTTTCATAGAAAAGCCCGCTATTCTTTGGCTTAGCTGCGGTGGCACATGCTAACCTTCATCTCTGCTAGAGAAGGCATCAGGAGCTGACTTCCTTCCCAGCCCTGGGCCAGGACTTGACCGATCACAGAGCACACAGAACAAATGCTCTTCTGTCTCCTGCCAAGTCACCCTTTGAAGCCAGACCTTAACAAGCAAAGGTTATATTTAGCAGTTCATTTCAGGAGTTGCCCAGTGTTTCAAGTTGTTGTGGGTCCATCAGACCCCACTCCCACCTCCCTGATCCCACTTAACTCAGTCCCCCATTATCTTCTATTCCTTTGTCTGCTCCCCCAACCCTTTTCTGTTGATCATATTAACAAGAACTCCTTTTCTTGAGCACTGACCAATGCTCTGCACTTTATGTGAATTATCTCTTTGACTTTTCACAACCACTCCATTTTACAGATGAGCAAACCAAGTCTTAGAGCAGCTCTTCTCAAACTTTAACCTCCCACAAATCACCTGTGGGTCTTCTTAAAAGGCAGTAGGTCTCGATGGTGCCTGAGTTTCTGCATTTCTAACATGATTTCAGGTGACACCAGGAGTGGTCTTTGGGCTGTGCTTTGAATAGCAAAGCCTTAGAGAACAAAGTGTCTTGCCTAAGGTTATTACACGGCCAGGCAGTATCCAAGGGTGTGGGTCCAGATCAGCTGGACACTAGAGACTGCTGGTGATCACTGTGTCTGTCATTGTGTATTTCTGGCAGAGGTTCAGTGTATGCACGAGACGCAGAAGCAGCTACGTAAGCTGGTGCATGAAATCGGCCTGGAGCTAAAGACCACCGCTGTCTGTTCGCAAGTGCGGCGCACACGTGATGGCTTCTTTATGCTGGATGATGCCCTGCTGAGGACCCAGTGGGACCTACACAGCATCCAGGATGCTATCCAGGCTGCAGCCCCCCGAGTGGTAGCAGAGCTGGAGAAAAGTTTGAGGCCAGTGCTGGGCACCCAGCAGCTCGCAGATCCAGGCCAGCCTGGGACTCCGCAGGGCCAGACTCCACCTGGGGGCTGAAGAGCTGCAAGGGTCATTGAAAGGCCAGGTAGCTGGTGAAGCAGTGGGTGGCGGAAGGATAAGACCTATTCATGAACCAGAACTGATGGCTGTGCAGAAAGTAAGTGAGAGTAGAAGACGCTTTTCTACACGTGACATAAAACTCTGAAGCTGTAAGAGAAGAGATTAACGGACTTGGCCCACCTGGGAACCTGACAAATACTTCCTCAGCCAGGTGTCATAAATCATGTTGTAGTGTGTACCTTTCATATGATGTGATGAAAATGGGACTTCTGTGGTGTTCCTCCTAATAACCCATAACACCAGCCTAATCATGAGAAGAACGTCAGACAAATTCCAATAGGGGACATACTACAATACACCTGACCAGTAATCCTCAAAACTGTCGTGATCATCAAAACCAAGGAAAGTCTGAGAAGCTGCCACTGCCAAGAGGAGCCTGAGGAGACATGATGACTAAATGTAATGTGGTGTTCTGGGATCCTGAAACAGAAAAAAGACATTAGGTAAAACTAAGGATATCTGAATAAGTGTGGACTTCAATTAATAGTAATGTGTATCAATTGTTACGTGGAGTCGATTTTGACTCATAGTGACCCCATGTGACTGTAGAGCTGCCTTGTAGGGTTTTCTAGGCTGTAATCTTTACAGGAGCAGATTGCCAGATCTTTCTCCCACAGAGCCACTGGATGGGTTTGAACTGCCAGTCTTTTGGTAGCAACAGAGTGCTTAACCATTGTGCTGCCAGGGCTCCTTGATGTATCAATATTGGTTTGTTAATTGTAGCAAACGTATCATACCAATGTAAGATGAAAATAATAGGGGAAACTGGGTATAGGTATGGAAACTGTACTATAGTCTCAGTTTTTCTATAAATCTGAAACTGTTCTAAGAAATAAAGTCTATTGGGGAAAAAAAGCACCTGGGGAGATCTTTGAAAATCCAGATTCTAGCCCCAGCCCTTGGATTCTGACTCAGTAGGTCTGGAGTGCAGCCCAGAAATCTGCATTTTAGCAAATTCCCCAAGTGAATCTGATACATGGACTTTAAGAAACAGGGTCTCACAGAGGCCAACTAGAGACTGTCATTCCATTCTGGGTGTCAGGAATAACATTCATGGCTATTTGAGAAGCCATCTTAGAGTAGCCAACAGCCATCCTGCAGGGCAGGGGTTAGACATTCACCTGGGCTGGTCAGTGCTCCCCAGAGCAGTATTGTCCTGTGGGAGGCAGGTGGCTGGTGGACTGACCAGAAAAGTCCCCAGAGGGCAGGGCAAACCACTCCCCTCCATCACCACCACTGCTGAAACAGCAGAGACCCAGACTGTCCACACCTGCTGTAGGTTGATTGGGACAGATGTGATCCTGAGGTTAATAAATGTCCCTCTAGAAGATCTTTGGAGCCCTGGTGGCACAGTGGTTAAGAGCTTGGCTGCCAATCAAAAGGTTAACAGTTTGAATCCACCAGCCACTCCCTGGAAATCCTATGGGGCTCCTACTCAGTCCTATAGGGTCACTATGAGAATCGACTCAATGGCAATGGGTTTTTTGTCGTTGAGCTCTTTGGTGGATGTGCTAGGGGCCAGAGCTGCTTGTAGCATTCTGTGGTACCAGGCTGGGGTGGGGCAGGGGCTGGGGAATCTAGCTTTCCCATCCCAGGGCTTTGACCAAGGAGCTCCCCTTCGGTTTCCCGAATAAGAATTTAAACTTTATTTGATTGCACTATGTAGAAGAAGTATATCTGAACCTCACTGTAGAATTTACAAAGTTTGGGCGATTGGCCCTTGGGTTATAAAATTAAGAAAAGTATCTCTTGGGAATCTGTTGAGAGATAGGCTTTGTGTACTTCACTCACCAGATCCATGCCTGGGTGCCTAGGATGGGAATGTCTCTTTCTTTTTCATTTAGGAACGTGATAACATGCTCCCTGTCCTGGGTGAAATGGTCCAAGGGGCCCTGTGACATTGATCACCTGGGTTTGAATCCCAGCCCTACCTCTTCCTCAGTGTGTCAACTTGGACAAGTGGCTTTATATTGGTGAGCCTTGATTTCCTCACCTATCAAATGGGGGTGATGACAATACTCCCTGTCCCATAGAGGTGACAGGACAAGCCCAAGACCACGAGGCAAATGCCTACAAAGAGCTTGCCGTGTGTCAGACCCTGGGCCAACAGCAGTTAAAAGTAATGTTTATGTAATCCTCAAACTGGCCTAGGGGTTAGGTCCTATGGCTCTCTCTATTTCACAGATGAGGAAACTGAGGCATGAAGAGGGCAAATGATATGCCCAAGGACAACCAGCAAGGGAGTACAGAGCCGAGGATCAAATCTGGGCTGTCCACACTCCTAACCACCAGACCATCCTGCCTCTCAGCTAGAGCCCTTGCTGCTTTTGTGATGCTTGTTACTAATATTAGTAATGATAGTACAGTTGTGCTCCCTCGAAAAAAACCTATCTTCTGTTAATGAGTTTCTGGAGAGGCCTCTTCGCCTGTAAGTTTTTAGATTGTAAATTCCATGAGGGGGTGGGGGAGCTTGTCCTATTTACCATAGAATCCCCAGCACCTAGCCCCAGGCCCAGCACATAATAGGGGCTCAGTAAATATTTGTTTAAGGAATGAATGCCTGTTGTTGTTAGGTGCTGTGGAGTCGAGTCAGTTCAGACTCATAGACCCTACATAAAACACAAACACTCCCCGATCCTGTGCCATCCTCACAGTTGTTGCTTTGTTTGAGCCTATTGTTGCAGCCACTGTGTCAATCCATCTCATCGAGGGTCTTGCTCTTTTTTGCTCACCCTCTACCTTACCAGGAGCCCTGGTGGTGCAATGGTTAAGAGCTTGGCTGCTAACCTAAAGGTCAACAGTTTGAATCCACCAGCTGCTTCTTGGAAACCCTACGGGGCAGTTCTACTCTGTCTTACAGGGTCACCGTGAGTTTGAATCGGCTCAACGGCAACAGATTTGGTTTGGTTTTGATTTCTACTTTACCAAGCTGGATGTCCTTCTCCAGAGACTGGTCCCTTCTGATAACATGTCCGAAGTATGTAAGATGAAGTGCTTCCAAGGAGCTCTCTGGCTGTACTTCTTCCAAGACGGATTTGTTCATTCTTTTGGCAGTCCATGGTATATTCAATATTCTTCGCTAATGCCATAATTCAAAGGCATCAATGCTTTTTTTGGTCTTCCGTATTCATTGTCCAGCTTTCGCATGCATATGAGGCGATTGAAAATATTGTGGCTTGGGACAGGTGCACCTTAGTCCTCAAAGTGGCATCTTCGCTTTGCAACACTTTATTTTTTTTTTAATTGTACTTTAGATGAAGATTTACAGAGCAAACTAGTTTCTCATTAAACAATTAATACACATTGTTTTGTGACATTGGTTGCCATCCCCATGACATGTGAACACTTTCCCCTTCTCAATCTTAGGTTCCCCATTACCAGCTTTCCTGTCCCCTCCTGCGTCCTCATCCTTGCTCCTGGGCTGGTGTGCCCATTTAGTCTCATTTTGTTTTATGGGCCTGTCTAATCTTTGGCTGAAGGGTGAACCTCAGGAGTGACTTCATTACTGAGCTGAAAGGGTGTCCTGGGGCCATGCTCTCCAGGTTTCTCTAGTCTCTGTCAGACCAGTAAGTCTGGTCTTTTTTTGTGAGTTAGAATTTTCTTCTACATCTTTCTAAAGATCTGTCCTGGACCCTCTATTGTGATCCCTATCAGAGCAGTCGGTGGTGGTAGCCAGGCACCATCTAGTTGTGCTGGACTCAGTCTGGTGGAGGCTGTGGTAGTTGTGGTCCTTTGTTAGTCCTTTGCACTAATCTTTCCCTTGTGTCTTTGGTTTTCATTCTCCCTTGCTCCAGATGGGGCAAGACCAGTGGAATATCTTAGATGGCCGCTCACAAGCTTTTAAGACTCCAGACACTACTCACCAAAGTAGAAATGTAGAATATTTTCTTTATAAACTATGTTATGCCAATTGAGCTAGATGTTCCCCGAGACCATGGTCCCCACAGCCTTCAGCCCGGTAATTTGGTCCTTCTGGGAGTTTGGAAGTATCTGTGGAGTGCTTTTCAACACTTTAAAGAGGTCTTTTGCAGCAGATTTGCCCAGTGCAGTGTGGTGTTTGATTTCTTGATTGCTGCTTCCATGGGCACTTATTGTGGATCCAGGTAAAATGAAATACTTGACAACTTCAATATTTTCTCCATTTATCAGGATATTGCTTATTGGTCCAGTTGTGAGGATTTTTGTTTTCTTTATGTTGAGATGTAATCCGTACTAAAGGCTGTAGTCTTTGATCTTCATCAGTAAGTGCTTTAAGTCCTCTTTGCTTTCGGCAGTCAAGGTTGTGTCATCTGCATATCCAGGTTGACAATGAGTCTTTCATCAGTCCTGCTGCTGTGTTCTTCGTCTTATAGTCTAGCTTCTCAGATTATTTGCTCAACATACAGATTGAATAAATATGGTGAAAGGATACAACCCTGACACACACATTTCCTGATTTTGAACCATGCAGTATCCCCTTGTTCTGTTGGAACAACTGCTTCTTGGTCTATGTACAGGCTCCACATGGAGCCCAATTAAGTGTTCTGGAATTCCCATTATTTGCAGTGTTATCCATAATTTGTTATGATCCACATAGTCGGGTGCTTCTGCATAGTCAATAAAACATCTTTCTGGTATTTTCTGCTTTCAGCCAAGATCCGTCTGACATCAGCAGTGATATCCCTTGTTCCACATCCTCTTCTGAATCCAGCTTGAATTTCTGGCAGTTCCCTGTTGATGTACTGCTGCAACCATTTCTGAATTCTTTTCAGCAAAATTTTACTTGCTTGTAATACTAATTTCCGCATTCTGTCAGCTCACCTTTCTTGGTACTAGGCATAAATATGGATCTCTTCCAGTTGGTTGGCCAGGTAACCGTCTTCCAGATTTCTTGGCATAGACGAGTGATCATTGCTGCATCCATTTGTTGAAACATCTCAGTTGGTATTCCTTCAATTCCTGGAGCCTTTAATTCCTTCAGTTTGCCAGTGCCTTTAGTGCAGCTTGGACTTCTTCCTTCAGTACCATCGGTTCTTGATCATATGCTACCTCCTGAAGTGGTTGAACATTGACCAGTTCTTTTTGGTATAGTGACTGTATTCCTTCCATCTTCTTTTGATGCTTCCTGCGTTGTTCAATCTTTTGCCCTTAGAATCCTTCAGAATTGCAACTCAAGGCTTGAATTTTTTCTTCAGTTCTTTCAGCTTGAGAAATGCCAAGTGTGTTCTTCCCTTTTGGTTTTTCTAACTCCAATTCTTTCCAAATTTCATTATAATACGTACTTTACTTTGTCTTGTCAAGCCGCCCCTTGAAATCTTCTGTTCAGCTCTTTTACGTGATCATTTCTTCTCTTGGCTTTAGCAACTCTACATACAAGAGCAAGTTGCAGAGTCTCTTCTGACATCCATTTTGGTCTTTTCTTTCTTTCCTGTCTTTTTAATGACCTTTTCCTTTCTTCATGTATGATGTCCTTAATATCATCACACAACTCGTCTGATTTTCAGTCATTAGTTTTCAATGCATCAAATCTGTTCTTGAGATGATCTCCAAATCCAGTTGGAATATGCTCAAGGTCGGATTTTGGTTATCGTGGACTTATTTTAATTTTTTTTAGCTTCAATTTAAACTTGCATATGAGCAACTGATGGTTTGTTCCACAGTTGGCCCCTGGCCTTATTCTAACTGATGATACTGAGCTTTTTCTTTGCCTCTTTCCACAGATGTTATCAATTTGATTCCTGTGTTTTCCATCTGGCAAGGTCCATGTGTTTAGTCGACCTTTATGTTGTTGAAAAAGGTGTTTGCAATGAATAAGTTGCTGGTCTTCTGAAATTCTATCATGTGATCTCTGCTGTTGTTTCTGTCACCAAAGCCATATTTTCCAACTACAGATCCTTCTTCTTTGTTTCCAACTTTCACATTCCAGTCACAGTAATTATCAATTCATCTTGATTGCATGTTTGATCAATTTCAGACTGTAGAAGTTGGTAAAAATCTTTAATTTCTTTATCTTTGGCATGAGTGGTTGGTGCATAAATTTGAATAATAGGCCTAGTCTGTCTCAGTCTGGAAGCTCTGCTGAAATGTGTCCACCATGGGTGACCCCACTGGTATTTGAAATATCAGTGGCATAGCTTCCAGCAGCACAGCAATAAACAAGCCACCACAGCATGACAAACTGACAGACACGTAGTGGATGAATGCCTGTATGCGAGTGTAAATATGTGTTGAATGAGTAATAACCCAAATGGTTATTTTTTTTAACAAAGTGG